TATAGAATATTTGAGGGTAAGATTTTGACATGAATTTCGACTAAAATTTACGTAGTCAGATTTGAATGCCAGTTTATTCTAGAGGGAAAATCATGAATAAAAAGCCCAAGCTCGTGAAAATCGAATGAGATTTGACCGAGTTATGGGGGTGAGAAATTTTTACCTATGTCTATATAGAATATTTGAGGGTAAGATTTTGACATGAATTTCGACTAAAATTTACGTAGTCAGATTTAAATGCCAGTTTATTCTAGAGGGAAAACCATGAATAAAAAGCCCAAGCTCGTGAAAATCGAATGAGATTTGACCGAGGTATGGGGGTGAGAAATTTTTACCTATGTCTATATAGAATATTTGAGGGTAAGATTTTGACATGAATTTCGACTAAAATTTACGTAGTCAGATTTGAATGCCAGTTTATTCTAGAGGGAAAACCATGAATAAAAAGCCCAAGCTCGTGAAAATCGAATAAGATTTGACCGAGTTATGGGGGTGAGAAATTTTTACCTATGTCTATATAGAATATTTGAGGGTAAGATTTTGACATGAATTTCGACTAAAATTTACGTAGTCAGATTTGAATGCCAGTTTATTCTAGAGGGAAAACCATGAATAAAAAGCCCAAGCTCGTGAAAATCGAATAAGATTTGACCGAGTTATGGGGGTGAGAAATTTTTACCTATGTCTATATAGAATATTTGAGGGTAAGATTTTGACATGAATTTCGACTAAAAATTACGCAGTCAGATTTGAATGCCAGTATATTCTAGAGGGAAAATCATGAATAAAAAGCCCAAGCTCGTGAAAATCGAATGAGATTTGACCGAGTTATGGGGGTGGGAAATTTCGACCTATGTCTATATAGAATATTTGAGGGTAAGATTTTGACATGAATTTCGACTAAAATTTACGTAGTCAGATTTAAATGCCAGATTATTTAATTGGGAAAACTATGCGTAAAAATCCAAACCTCGTGAAAATCTGATGAGATTTGACCGAGTTATGGGGGTGGGAAATTTCGACCTATGTCTATATAGAATATTTGAGGGTAAGATTTTGACATGAATTTCGACTAAAATTTACGTAGTCAGATTTAAATGCCAGATTATTTAATTGGGAAAACTATGCGTAAAAATCCAAACCTCGTGAAAATCTGATGAGATTTGACCGAGTTATGGGGGTGGGAAATTTCGATCATGCCTATATAGGATATTTGAGGGTAAGATTTTGACATGAATTTCGACTAAAATTTACGTAGTCAGATTTGAATGCCAGTTTATTTTAGAGGGAAAACTATGCGTAAAAATCCAAAACTCGTGAAAATCTGATGAGATTTGACCGAGTTATGGGGGTGGGAAATTTCGATCATGCCTATATAGGATATTTGAGGGTAAGATTTTGACATGAATTTCGACTAAAATTTACGTAGTCAGATTTAAATGCCAGATTATTTAATTGGGAAAACTATGCGTAAAAATCCAAACCTCGTGAAAATCTGATGAGATTTGACCGAGTTATGGGGGTGGGAAATTTCGATCATGCCTATATAGAATATTTGAGGGTAAGATTTTGACATGAATTTCGACTAAAATTTACGTAGTCAGATTTGAATGCTAGATTATTTAAGAGGGAAAACTGTGCATAAGAAGCCAAACCTCGTGAAAATCGGATGAGATTTGACCGAGTTATGGGGGTGGGAAATTTCGACCTATGTCTATATAGGCTATACGAGGGTATCTTAAATCTCGTATTTAGGAAGTTATTGAAGCTGTCAGATGCCGAATTATTTAACTCTTCAATAGATTCATTTCTGCCTTCAATTATTTGCCACATTCCCATAGATCTCAATAAAGACCTGATCTGTTCCATGCCCTGGCATATATTAACTATGTGATTAGGTAATGGCCACCTTATATAACATGTCACACATGCAAATTGCAGAAACACTTTAGGCTATACAATTTTTATTATTTCTCAATGAGTCACGGCCTGGACGGCGGGCTGTGCGAAGAGGCCAGTGAATAGGCAACGGATGTGTCGTCCACCCCCTCTCCCCATCCCTCCCCCTCTCTCATGCAAATAGCGCGATTTGCATGCGCGCCAAGCAACTACTGTGCGGCCAAGGGCCAGGGGTAAGGGTAAGGCGGGGGGAAGTCGCGCTCTTGACTATTTTGTTGAGTGACTAAGCCAAAGTGTTTGGCGAGCTGTTAAAGTGTTGATGCCTAAAAGCCTGGCCAAGAAGTGTCGAGCAGAGCCATAAATACACACACACACACATACATTATTGTGCATATATGTGTGTGTGCTACATGCATGCACACATAAATATATTCACTTGGCTTGCCTTGGTCAATTCATTTGCCAATTGCACTCTCGGCGTGTAGGTTGGCTGCTTAAAGTTTCGCTTTCCCTTGACCACAACAACAACAACAATCACGAATCGGGCCACAAGAATATGAACAACCACTGCGAAAAGTGCAAGTCGAGAGGCCCCTTTTAAATTGGGCCCGCGGACTCGAGCTTAGCCGCCGGCCAAAAACTCCTATCTTCGGTTTTGTATGTGTATGGTTTTTTTTTTTGGGAAGGGGGGGCTCGAACAATTATAATGGCTGGCAAACGTTATTTACTGCTTTTAGCGTCGATTTGTGTATCGTGGCACGCCCCCCTAACCCCTGCACCACCAGCAGCAGCACCACCGACGGCAGTCGCGTACACCCACTCAACCCGCTGCCCAGACAATTGCCAACAACTTTACGCCCCCCGCCCACCTTTTTTGGTGTGGATCACTTCGCGATTGTTTTCAGTTTTTCGTTTTATAAGGCAGCTTTTTATTTAGCCTCTACAGGGTATATCTTGTTATCTAGCTCTGATCAACTTGTAGCTAAGCTATATTTATATAATCAAAGAGTTCAATATATCTTTCTAGATAAATCTCTTATTGTACATCTCTCTTTTCATCTTGCTGTTACTAGTCTTCTCCATCTTCCATATCAGTCTTTCTCACATACATATCTCTTTCTGTTTCATATGTTTCCCTTTATCTCTCATTTTCCTTTTCTACCTGTCCTTGTTTACCCCTCTCTCGTTCTTTCCGCCCCCTCATAATCTCTCTCTTTGTCCTTCTGTCTCCCACCTTGTCTGTCTTTCGTTCCTTCTTTATCCATTCTTCATTCTTCTCTCTCTCTCTCTCTCTCTCTCTCTCTCTCTCTCTCTCTCTCTCTCTCTCTCTCTCTCTCTCTCTCTCTCTCTCTCTCTCTCTCTCTCTCTCTCTCTCTCTCTCTCTCTCTCTCTCTCTCTCTCTCTCTCTCTCTCTCTCTCTCTCTCTCTTTATTGCTGTTTCTCTTTTTAACGCATCCTTAAACTTTATTTTCACTTGTTGGACAGCTGAACACTCTCAACTTCTTACAGGGTATATCAAAAGTCGACCAAATGCCACTTTGCAGTATGCGAAATTGTAGTTCCTGTTGTAGTGTAGTTGCTGTTGTTGCTATTTTAACTAACCTGCTGCTGTTTCATAGTATCTTAAGTGGCCAAATAAACGCTTGCAGCCAATTTTGGCTAGCCGCAGTTAACCGTGTGGCTCGATTTGCATACAAATATGGCCCACAAGTGTTTTTGCGACTAATTTCGTATGAAAATTTGATTGCTCCCGATTAGAATCGTGTTCATTGTTTTTGTTTTTCTGTTTTTTTTTTTTCGGTTTCTGTTAAGATTTTGGGTGCCAACTCAGACAACTTCGTTGCCCGACACGCCCCTCCTTGCACCCGCCCTCTTTTTGGTCAGCTGAACGTGTGTTTGTTTGTTTCTTATGGAATTAAGTAATACTCGTGATTATTATAATTTTTTTTGTTGTTTGTTTATTTTTGGTGGTCTTGCCTTTTTAATGCGTCCGAGTCGTTGGCCTTCCACTGTAATTATGTAGTTGTCAGTTAGAGTTGGCTTTAATTGCGATTTACAGTTGCTGCAGTTACCATTGTTGTGGGTGTGATGTGAGAGATATGATATGCAGATATATATACGCTATAATAAGGCTCAACTCTGCAGCACCAAAAAAAAAAAAAAAAGCGGCGGTTCTTTTGTCTGCTGATCAAGAGATATCACACAATTTGCTAAAACTAATTTGTGCAGACATTTAAATAGGTTTAATGTTGCAATATTGTGACACGGGAGCTTGAACTTTTACTGGCAGCTTTTATGGGTTGCTAAAAGAATATGCGGCAACATCTAGAAAGAGTGCTCAATGAGGGGATTTCCTTATTCTGTTTCTCTTCTTTTTCCTAACATTCACATTTTTTTTCGCATTTTATTGGATTCTCTGTCTCTCTCTCTCCCCTTTTTACTACCAAAGAGACTCAGGGATTGCCCTTTTGCCCTATGGTACTTGATATGGTCGATCTCTCTGTCTCTCGCTTCTAGGTCCTCCTTACCTTTCCTATCTGTCCCTTACTTTCCCTCACTCTTTTTTACACTACATAATCTTAACTCTCCTTATTACTCCCACTGTCTCTCTTAAGACAGCACTCAGATCCCATTTTCACTCTTAAACTCTATGTCTCCTTTAAATAATTCCCTTTTTCTTTCTCTTATATGCGCCTTGCCTTATATTCCCCTCACTCCCACTCTTTTTGCGATTTTCATAAGTTTAACTAGGTGATACAGTTTTTGATGTTTTCCTTGTAAAATGCTAACGAAAAATTGTGTTTAAATTTAGTAATAAATTTAAAATTGCTTTCTGCTCAGTGATCTCTCACTTCCTCGAAAAACGAAGCAGCTGCATCTGGGCTTCAATGCAAGCATTAGCTCAACATTGCGCCTTATGCGAAACGATTAGCATTATTATAATAATTAATAATATATATATGTATTTCGCATAATTGATGCCTTTTGATTTGCTTTCAACTAATTCGCGTTAAACGCTTTTATTTTGTTTTGTTTTTAATTACAGTGTGTTTTTTCTTTTTATCAAAATAACGAAATAAAAAACGTATTTTGCATAAAAAGCAAACGAACGGAAAACGAATTAAAAAAGGAAAAAAGCCCGCCAGGAACTGGAACTGCGCGCGGACCCCAAAAAGGTCGAGAGGCAGCACAGCGGAACGTTGGCATGAAACGAAACGAACGCCCGGCGATGGCGGCAGACATGCAAATTTATGCATTTTAAGTGCGGCAGCAACAACAACAACACGAAAGCAACAACAACAAGAGCCACAACGAAACACGACTAAAAGCAGATTTTAAGCAAATTAATTAAATTAACATACACATGGAAATCGGAACCAAAAACAATTAGCGCCACACTATGGAAGCTGGAAATGAAACAGCGGCTCTTGATGAGGCGCAGCCACATCAAGCAGCAGCAGAGGCGGTGGGCGTGGCAATGGCAACAGAGACGTCATTTAGCAACCAAGAGACTGATAAAGCGGCCATCACGATGAAGTGCGTCAACGGAAACGCTGACATAACTAAAACAACAACAACAGCAACAACAACGAACACACTCAGATTGGAGGATGTGGTTGCATTTGTCATGCCAGCCACAACAGAAGCGGCAAGAAGTGCAACACCACGCAGCACCACCAAATCGAGCCATGCCACAAAATCGGCTGGCAGCAGTCGCAGCAGTTCGCTGCGCAAACAACGACGCGCCGCCGGCCTCAACAACATGTTGTTGTTGGACGTTGCGGGCGGCGGGGGCGTTGCGTTGGGCGGTGGCGGCAGCGGCTGCGATATAAAAATATCGCAATCGATGACCTCGCTGCCGGCGGACGAGCTGCAGCAGGAGCGCCGCGATACCATCCAGGCCAAGCTGCATCTGGAGCGGCCCTACAACAGCCTCAAGGTAAGGTGGTGCCAGTTTCTGGTGGTGCAGGTTCCAGCTGAAGGTGGCGCAGTTACATTTTTGTAGTCAACATTTTGAGCCGTGGGTAGCGCATAAATTTGCAATTGAGAGTTAACATAAAAATGTCTCTACGTTCCGCACGCTAACAACTTGATCTGGCTCGAGGCGGGGCAGAGCGGTGCAGGGGGGATGGGATGGGAAGGGGAGCGCAGAGCCGGGTGGCATTGCTCTATTCATGTCGCCATGTCGCCGTTGCTCTTAAATGACAAGCTGCCGTTAGAATATGAATACTTGATCTGGTTCTTGGTTCTGCGTCAACGGAAATTGGCTTAATAAATTATTAATCAAATTTAATTTCGATATTAGCATGACAGAGAGAGTAAGAGGGGGAACAATATAACGGCTTACAATTTTGCAGCATGTGTTTCGCAAGCCACAACGTTCCACTTAATTAGTCAGCGCTTAAAAGAAAGCATAAATTTAAACGTGCGATTCGACGTGTGATATTGAATGCATACGTGATAAATTAATAAAAACAAATAACGTTTATGCTAGCTTTAAACAATTTTGGGAAAGAAAAGATATAAACGTATATAAATTGAAATTTGCCAGAAATGAAAAAGATTCTGAGGTTAAATTTATACACCAAAATCAACATTTAAAAGCAGGTTGTAAATTTAATGAAGTTTAGTTTGAATAAAGTTTCAATTATATTTTCCTTTGTTCTTCTCTTCATTAAGAAAAGAGAATAACTATAATAGACCTACAAGGCGGTGTAAAAAATGTGGAATATTTTTGCAATTCTTACAATTTTATCTTCATGTTAAGGTTTATTTTATTTTTGTATTCTCTTGTCTAAGAAATGAGAACTACAATAGAGCAACAAGTTGACAGTCAATATCTGTGTATTACAAGCTGGTTGCAAGTTTATCTTCACGTTAAATACTCCAACTGGATATATTGAGCGTAGTCTCACGTTCCATTTCCGCTTGTTTCTCCAATGAATCGAACTTTTTACGTTATGCAACTGTTGATTTATCGATTGAGTTCACATTCTTAACCGTTTTGCAGCTGTCGCTAGCGCAACCGAGCGCTAATTGTGCGAGTGCATGTTAAATTTTTACAAGCTGACTGTGCGCTGTTTATTCGCAGGAAATTCGAGTCATTTATGGCACCCACCTGGGGCCAGCTGCTGGTTATTCAATTTAATTAATTATGGGGCGCTTGTCATTCAATCAAATTACGATTTCAATTTCAATTTCATTTTTTTAAGCATTACGCGAAGCTGTGTCAATGCGGAATTTTCTTCTATTGTAGCTAGACGTTTATAGCTCTCGTTTTGCACAAATAAAAATTCATTAATTAATTACGCGCACAATTTGCAGCGTTGTCAACCGGTTCGTGGGGGGGGGGAAGGGGGGGAGCGCCAAAAATGGTTAAGCATATTATCGCTACCTTATTTGGCGACGCTCAAATTACTTATTTATTAACAGCCACGCTCACCTCTTTCTCCTCTGCTTTTTTCAGAAAAACTCACAGAGCGGCGGCAACAAGTGCTCCAGCAACAACAACAACAACAATAACAATAGCAACAACAACAGCGGCAGCAACAACAAAATGCACCGTTACTCTTGGGGCAGCGGGCACAGCCACAGCAGCTCGACCAGCCTGCACAGCAGCGCCACACTTGGGCTGGGCTCGTCGGGCAAAGACGACCTCTGGGCGGCCATTCAAACAAACTATAATTATATTATGGACACAAACCTGTTGGATACGTGCAAAGAGGCGCGGTTTGAAATTGAGGAGGCGCAGCCCGCATCACGCGAGTCCAAATTTATGGGAAGCCAGCTGCATGTAAGTACACTGGAAAACGACAGCTAGCGTCGAGTAGCTGCAACTTGTCTAGCAAATTTCCTTGCCTACTCTTAGCGGCACGTAGTTTAACTTAGCCAAAATGCACACCAAATTGTGCTAAATGCTTAGCTAGACTAAATTTACACTAAACTATATTTAATTTAATACCATCTACTAGATTCTGGATGAAACGCAGCGACCGGAGGGTCTGTGCGAGGATCCTAAGGAATTGCGTCGCTGGCTACGCGACATGGAAAACAAATTGGAAAACGCACCAACTATTTCGGAATTAACATTGTATTGTAATTCGGAGTTGCAGCGCCATCTAGCAGTACACTCGGTAAGTTTGGTTTTTCGTTTTTAATCAAATCTAAAGCATACTCTGGGGCGGCCAAAGCTGTTGCAACATGCGTAAGGCAGCAACATGAGGCATAAGAATAATGTTGGCGGCCGATTTTATGAAAAAATTGATAAAATCAATGGGCGTCGATATTTAAGCAATGTTTACTAAAATAAACAATTAACTAAGCTCAATGCATAATATAAAAGTCAGTTGCTTGAGTTGGTTGATGGAAAAATATGTTGGCCTAGGCTCAAATGTTGCTAAAAAAAAAAAGAATGCATAAAGCTGCAACATGTGCAACATGCGAGATTTTTGATAAATATTGAATGAAAATGTGTGAATGAAGCTTAAATGAAAACATTTTTCTAAAATTATACAAAATGTTGTGGAATATTCTTATACTCATTTTTTAAATAATACGTCATTTGCTACTCGAAATTGCGCTTGGATTATGCAATTTTTGAACTTTAGTTAATTTTCTCTTGCTGCCACACACAATTATGCCAAGCAATAAACACTATTTTTTTTCACTCTTCATTTGAAAACTATAAGTTAAACTTTCAAAGAAAAGAAAAGGAAAACCTTCAAAGATACATAACGTTGATAACAAGCCATAAGCCAGACACACAAAAAAAAAAAGCCCTGAAGTAGAAGAAGTAGAAAAAAGCTGAGATACTAATCATAGGTAAAAGTGTAACGAAGTGAACAGACAACTTACACGCATTTCATGTGGCTTTTCATTCGCAATGACTCGCGACTTTAGCTATTTCTCATATATATATATGTATATGTATATGTATAATATTATAATATATTTTCGTCTTCCGTCAGTGCGTGCCACATGGGGCACAAAGAAACAAAAGCAACAACAAAAACAACAAAAACAACCTGCAGCCACTTGCCAAAGTTGCCGCCTATTCAAAAGACAGACAAGTATCTGAGAGCTTGTTGCACAAGCTAGGGAAATACAAAATACTCTCGGCTGGGGGAGAGACAGGGGGGGGGGGGGGGTTAGACACTGCTCAGCTCAATCAACTCCCCCTTTTCCCAATAGCTCAAACCTTCGACAATGTTGCCTTGTTTTACCGATTTTTTGTTTTTCATTTGAGTTATGAGAAATTTTACGTATTAAAACTGAAAATTAACTGTAAAAAATTTAAAAAGTATTAAATACAAAAAAAAATTTCAAAGAATGGGTGCCCAATGCTGCAAATGTTGTTGTTGTTGCTATGAAGGCGTACCGCAGCCTCCGAAGAAAAAGAAACCCGAAGTTAAAATCCAGCCCGCAAAAGTCGAATATTGCCGTAAACCCGATGCCCCACCTCAGCCCAGCACCCTGGAACGGCCCAATGTCCGTTGCCAGTGCCTGACCAAGAATTAAAACAAACAATTGGAACGTTTTGTGCGGCGAATTTCAATCTGTCTGCACAATATGTGAGTAAAATCTGTGTATATATGAGTGTGTGTGTGTGTGTGTGTGCGTGTGTGTGTAGCTCTGGGGCTGCAAATGATGCAATGAGCAAAAGCCTGCGAATAACTATGTGAGTTATTTGCGAGGGGCGCGCGGAAGTGTGGTTAGGGGAGGGGGAGGGTTGCACAAATCTAAGACGGAAGAGCCACGTTTAGCCTTTGGGGCTTGGCCGGGGCCACATTTGGGCTGATTGAACATGACCATGACAGCGCCAGACAGCTGCCTGGATAATGTGATGTGTGCGAGTGTGTGTGTCTGTGTGTGTGTGTGTAGGTGTTATATAAGCCACTTTTCCAGCTGGTGAAAACAGAATCAAGTCGAGCATTGCCTTTGGTTAAATTTTTATCATTGTTGCGCCAGCATAACATGAAAAGCGAGAGTTTTTCTTTGAGACAGCTTACAAAAGGCAGCTGTGAAGTTGCATTGACCAAAATATACCCTAGGCTCCTAGACACTGATCATAGTAAAAGCTTAAAACAGTTTGACAAAGGGGCGGCGAAGTGACTTTTCAACTGTGCAGTGCCTTTCAAACTTTATCAATTGCATATTTTCCACAAGTGCTCAATTCCATGAAAGTTGATATTAATATAAAATAAATTGTATATTTATCCAAGTTCATTTAGATCATTGTCTAGCTGGAATTGGAATTTCTCTTAGTTAGTGGCATACTCTGTACATAAACTTCAAAGGTGTATATTGGTTGGGCGCAATGTGCATGTCTTCTATTTGTCTCATGAAGAGACCAAGGGTATGAAAGGGACTAAGGAATCAAACGAACTAGGGGTATAAAGTTCTTGGCTCAAATCTATATAACTGGCAGAAGGAATCATCTCCGACGCCATAAAGTCTATTTATGCTTATTCTATAAAGAAATTCTTTCCGATATTCAATAACCGTTTGCCCCTTTTCAAAGAAATCGATAAAAATCAATAAATACAGATCAGTTTTATGTCTTTCTAAAGCTTTCCTCAAAACATACATACAGACATGGCCCAAGCTATTTTCTTCAACAGTTTATTTTTTTTCACTTATTTTCCACTTTTATCAGTGTATTTAAAACCAAAAACTCTCTCAGTGAGTCTGTCAAGCGATGCCCTTAATTGAATTACCCTTCCGAAAGCTTGGAAAACTTTTTGAAAAGGAATTTATTGGAAAATTTGCATTCGTTTTGCTTGCATTTCGAAGTGTTGTACAATAATATTTTCATTTATTTTCTCGCTAATTGAACATTCCATTTAAGTGCGCTTCATGGAATTTGCCAGCTTGATCTTTTTTTCCCAACCCCCTAACCCCTACCCCTTACGCCTTACCCCTTACCCCCCGACTCACAATGTGAACCGTGTGCATAGAGCTTCCCGCCCGCTGCTTTTGGTATTTGCAGGCGGCAGGAAAACTCTTGGGCCACGAGCCAAATGAAAGTAAATAGCGGGCGAAAAATCAAACAATTGCAACAACAACAATAACAAAAACAACAACAACAACAACAACAACAACAAAGCGAACTCTGTTAACCAAAATACTCCATTGGCCAAAAAGTGCAATCAGTTTCCTTTCGGCGTCGCCTCCGTTTTGGCCCACTGATTTACGACAATTGTTTTGTCACGTCGTCGATTGTTGGCTGGGGAGGGGTGTGCGGGGGAGTGGTGGGGAGGGGGGGAGAGGGTCTCTCGACGGCAGCCGAAATGTCAATTGCCCGAAAATGGTTAAACATATTTTCAATAAGTTGTTAGGCGTTTGTCTCTGTCGTTTGTTTGGCAGGCGGCACGCAGCAGCCCCCGCCCCAGATCAGCCCCCTCCCCTCCCAGTTGCTTTCCTGTACCCCCGCACCAACCCGTTCCGCCCCCTCTCACAGCTGCAGTCCAACAGTTGTCACTGTGGAGGATGCATTCATTTTGGCTACCACTTAAATGCAGCCAGTGGCAAATGGAAAGGCACAACACAACTGTGTGCTCTCATTGGAGCGTGCCCGACTAGAGAATACCCTGTGCACAGCAAGCCACGCCTCTTAAAATTCTGTTTATTAGGCTTGCGTTACCCAAAAAGTTTTCTGATTATGTGCATACATATTTAAGAGAGTCTACACTCAAAATTTGCTGTCTCTAGCCCCTATAAGCTTCGAGTTATGCTCCCAAAATGGGCACTGATAACCGATATTTATCTATGTTTATCGATGTTGAAAATCGATATTTATCGATTGCCGAGTTAAAACCGAAAAAGGGGATATTATTCAAAAGTTCGAGTCTTCAAATCAAATCAAAGTTAATTTTACGATCTACTTTCTTCTGCCTGTTACATGCTTACGCAAAAATCCGAGTATACCCCTTCTTCCCATGCGTACAGGGTATCAAAATTTGTCAGCCAGCGGCCGACTGTCTTGAGTATATATGTGTATATACATTTGAATTCATGGCTCGCTTGGAGGATGAGTAGCTCCGTCCTCAGCTGGATGCTGGCCAGCTGCTGCTGCTGCTGCTCCCATAACAAGCTGCAACGCACTCGACGAGAGTGGGCCTGGGCGTCGCCCCTTGGGTAAAACTAACTGCGAAAACTGCGAACTTTCCAAACATTAATTGAAATCTTTGCCACGGTTCGTTCTTTTTGCAACAGCAGCGAAGCGTAGACAATCATGTTGCATGTGGCATGTCGCAGCTTAACAAGGATGTCTCTGTTTCGGCCGAGGCTCCAAAAATGGCGATAGGTACTGCGAGTTGCCTTACTGCCAGATACCCTCTACGCGGTTCCGTGAAAAATCACATACAAACATGCAGCCGTATCTGCGAGGCGTATCTTTTAAGGCTAAAGATAATTGCTCTTAAAATAAGTTGAAAATGTCTGACCGATCGGGAGATACCCTGCATTAATTATAGCTTAAGGTTTTGCCTTGAGTTTCCCCAGCTTCAATGTTTAAACCAAAACAGTACAAAGATATAAATAGATTCAGAAATTCCTCCTGGTAGAAAGTAGGCTCAATCACGAGATACCCTGTAATAATTATAGCTTCAATAAGCCCGACTTAGGTTACCCTACTTTCTACTACCCTATTTTTATTGTTCATAAGATACCCTGTAATGATTAGTGTCTCTTATACTCGAAGCAATTATCTTGTAGATTTAGCCCACACAGGATAATACAAGAAGGTGTAAAGCTTGATAGGCTAGGCGATATCCTATGTAACGAGCTGCTTGACTAAGAGATACCCTGTGCTCAACAGGGGTTTAGCATTAGCTGAGTTTTTGTAAAACAAAGAACATATATTTTGAAATCCGCAAAAAAATATTGATCGACGTTGACATACCCTCTACTAGGCAATATACTTTCTCTTCCGAGCTAAAGCTTATGGAATGGAGAGCTGCCATGCCATATAGTATAGTATGACTCGGAAATTCTTGCTAGACTTAGAGATACCCTATGAGATAGTTATTTTTGAGACTTTCCCAGCTCGTTGTTACACCCTTCAGTTCACCGCCGTTTACAGGGTATAACGAAGAAAAACAATCTTGTGTTTCGCTCGAGCCGCAAACAAAAA